CGGTTCATCGCCGGCAGCACTAGACGCTGAGGCTGTGATGTCCCGTGTGGACCCTGTGTAGTGTTCTGATGTACAGTTGGATGTGGTTGAGTTGATCCGCTGGTACGTGGTCTCAATGCTAAGACAGCGCTGGTAAGAATAGGGTTTTTTGTTATTGCTGAGACTGCAACAACAAGTGAAGTGCTGATTTATTTTAGGAGCACAGTATAAGAGCTGGAAGGAAAATTATAGCTACCAGTTCCCTTTTTGTAGGCCTGGTGAAATTCATTAGAACAAGCCCTTTGTGCTGAAATAAATCTTACCCCCCACTCAAAAAAGTACTGAAATCCCTACACTGAAATGGTCCATTCAGTAAATAAGCACATCCCAGGGTGTTTCTGTAGAAGAGTAAGGGTGTTATCCTGGTGTCCTGGCCAATTTCTCCCTAGTTTTTACCAGTCATGGCCTCCTAATAATCCCCCTCTCTGAACTGGCTTCATCACTCTGCTCTCCTCCCCACTGAGAGCTGGTGTGTGGGGAGCGGACTGGTGCATCATCCAGGTGGGGGGACACACTGGTGGGGGTGGAGGGGATCCCCATGACCTGTAAAGAGCTTTGAGTGGAGTGTCCAGGAAAGCGCTATAGAAGTGTAAAGAATTATGACTGAAATGTCTGTCTCCAGCTTCACACACACACTGGCTGGCAGGACAGAGGACTGTTCACTCCAGTGCAACGTTTTCATAATTTGTGCAGCCTGCAAACTGGGTTCAGCGCAGATCTCTGCACCTTCTTTTCAAGAAACCAAACGGCTCCGTATACCGCTACTTCTCATTGTCTGCCTCTCTTCAGACTTGAAACCCGTGCCGTTTGTTTCTGAAACCTCTACTCCGGGCCAGGGCAGGAGAAAGCTTTAGAAACTGTGCAGACGGGGGGGCTGTGAGATGTTTTCTTTCTTCATTCCACTCACCTTCATTCATCTCCTGTTCTGTATTTGTTTTTTTACTGAAGAACTCACTGGACTGAACTCACTGCAACTGTGTGGAAGGTGTCGTCAGGGTCTGTAGCAGCAGCTGGCACCCCTGGGTGTTTAGTATGCAGCCTGTGGCCCCTTCGCTAACAAGGCGCGGAAAAGGAACTTGGGATTGTATAGGGAGGTGGTTTCCAAGAGATGGTCCCGGAATGCGGAGATAAAATTGACCTTGCTGTATACGACGTGCCCCTGACGGAGTCTTCCCATAGTACAGCTGAATGAGCAGGACTGAGGTGTGTGTGTGTGTGTGTGTGCGTGCGTGTGTGTGTGTGTGTGCACTGGGCTTGCATTTTAAAGCCTTGCGGAGCAAGAAGTGGCGTTTGTGAATGGGCTGTTCTGGGGGGTTGGGGTTCGGGGTGGACATTGAAGAGGCCCTGTTTTCTGCCTGTTGCGATTGTCTGTGTTCTCAGACAGGGGAGCTCTTTCCAGCTCTTTGCTGTTTCTCTCAGTGGCGTAGACTAGGAGACATTTTAGGATTCTGTAAGGATCAGTTATTCTGTAACAAGGGCATCATGTCTGGTTTTAAAGCTTTTCATAGTTTCAGTTTAGACAGAGCTTGGCTGGCTGTGTCATTCTCCTCTGCCCTGTATGAGGCCAGCACGAAGCCTGGCCATTCTAGCTGTAGTGTGTTCGAACTCGTTTAGCCTAGGAAAGGATGGAGTAGGCGTTTTGAGTGCTTGTCTGCCAAAAGGCAAGAGGCAATCTGATTTCAAAAACAGCTATAGTGATTTTTTTTAGATTTAGCATTGAAGGGGGATCTTTAGAGAGCCAGAATTATACCAGCCCCAAGCACACATTAGGTGGCGTACCAGGGTTAATGCCCTTTTTATTAAACGTTAAACTGAGGGTCCTGACTCTCTGTGGTCATTACAAATCCCAGGGTGTTTCTCGAGAAGAGTAGGGGTGTCACCCCAGTGTCCTGGCCAGTATTCCCCCCCGGCCTTTACCAGTCATGGCCTCCTAATAATCGCCATCTCTGAACTGGCTTCATCACTCTGCTCTCCTGCCCACATCCAAGTGGGGGTACGCACTGGTGGGGGTGGGGATCCCCATTACCTGTAAAGCGCTTTGAGTGGAGTGTCCAGAAAGGCACTATATAGGTGTAAGTAATTATTATTATTAAGAAGAATGAACAGGAGGCCAGCCTTGCACAATAAAACGGTATAAGATATAATGGTTACAAATGAGAGTAAGCAGTTCAGCCCAGCTGAACTTAGTAATTGATCCAAGGATCTCATCTGGACATTTCTTGAAGGGAAACCAGGGTGTTGGCCTTAATGGCCTAACTGTTCCACACTCCTCCAACCCTTTGTGTAAAGTAGTGTCTCCTGCACCAAGAGCACTTCTATGTAGTTCTCCATTTGTCACCTCTAGTTCACATTTCACTTTGAGAGTTATGGACGCTTGGATCAGGTCCCCTCAGGGCCTTTTTTGTTTGAAACGGAGAAGGTTGGGCTCTTTTATCCGGAGCGTGGAGGATGATCGGAATCCGCCGGTGTTTCTGGAGTGGGATTTGAACCCACGCTGCCGTAACAGAGTGTCAACTGAATGGGGTATCTTAAGACTGCCTGGCCGCGCGAAGACCAGTGTCAATCATTGCAACGTTGATTTTTCTCACCTCCTTTTCCGAACAGGGTCGTGCTCCTGATCAGAGTATCACTTTCTGAACTGCCCCCTTTCAAATGAATGTGCGACACGAGAAGCAGCTGAAAGAGTTACAGCCAGCGTGTCTGAATGTGCAACTGGGTCCGTTTGCACGGAAAATATGTTGTTTTGTCTAATGAAGCTTTTCTTTTTTTTCAACAATGTCGCTGTTTTTCCCCCGAGAGAGCAGGCGCGCCTGTACAAGGGTGTGCAGTGTATTCAGTACAACAGGGAGCAGAGAGGGGCATGAATGTCACAGGGGTGGGTTTCCAGAATCTGCAGTGCCTCGCTTGTCCCCCCCAGACGGCGGACTCACAGTGGCGATTGACCCCGTTATCTTCGGCCGCTGGAGGGCTGATTTATCTCCTGACGCCGCGACAAACGGCGCCAGCTCGGTTTGTTTCGAATCGTACCAGCCCGTGGCGGGCGCGGAGGCTTCGGACGAGCGGGAGAACAGAACCCGCTTTCCTTGGGAGGGGCGGGGGAAAAAACTGTCGCAGGAATGCCTCGGTTCGGACCCCCACACCCCCCACCCCCATTACGCTGGCAGTCGCCACGGAGACGCACCCCAGGCGTCTGGGGACACCTGCAGCGCACCAGTGCGCTGGATTCTAGAGCTGGGCCTACTGGGAAGGGAGTATCGTGGTGGTGGTGGGGGGGAGGCCGCGTAGACCGGGCAGGATCTCGGAGGTGCCGTTGCTGTGGCGACCGGCCTTGAACTGCAGGGCCGCGCAGATCTGCCGAACGGCAGCAGGAGGAAGCTGCTGGCAACACAGTGACCTACTTCTCCCTGGACACGTGACGCAGGCTTCCTCCTCAAGGCGCCGGACCCCTCTGTACCACACACAGACCCCCCCCCCGGCGCATCACACCGACTGACAGAAGCAGGCCTGGCGATTCTCACGAGAGACCGAGAGGGCAGTTCAGGCCGTGAAAGGTCAAGGGTCGAGAGTTGGTGTGTGTACAGCACTCTGAGTCCCTGTCCAGCAGGTGTGAAGAGTGTGTTCCGTATCTGACGTTGCCTTGGGAAGAGCTCTGCACATGTGTGAAATGTAGCAGCCTAAGCCAGGGATTTGTTGGCAATCTGCAGTCAGGCTTAAGAAAACTTACGTGCCCGTTCAGGAAGGGGTGGCGCAGGTGTTTAATGTTTAATTGACAGCGCAAATGAAAAACTCTCCAGGATTCCAGGTTAAAGTAGTTTTTGATTGCTGTGTCCGTGTGTAGCTCGGTTGATGATTTCATTGTGCTGGAAACGCGCTTTTAATGCTGTCAGCTCGTACAGCAGTGCTTTCCTCAGACCTCCAGGGCCTTGTCTTGGAACTAGTTCGCACTAGTTCACAGCCCCTCAGTGACTTTGCTGCTTAGGCTCACATGAAGAAACAGATGAGTGATTTCCTAGACTGTTCTGGGAATGATTGGAAAGCCTACATGAGCACATGGCATTATTCAGAGCTGATGCCTTCATGGCCCTAATGTGTGTGTTTTTATATTTTTTTAATTTGTGAATCGGAGGCAAACGGTCAATTGTGCCGTTTGCGTGCAGCAAGCTGTTCTGGAGCCAGCTGGTTATATGCGGTATGACGTCATGGACATGTGGTACATGAAGACTTTTGCAATCTGAAATTGGCTGTTCTGGACTGTAATGTCCTCCCATTGAGGTCTTTGTCAAATGTTACGTGTCCTACAAGCTGAAGTTGCTGTATTACAGCTGCTGCTGCAGTATATGCCTCAGATTCCACCTGTCATCCGGCCATCCATTTTCTAAGCACTTCATCCAGTTCAGGGATACTCTGGAACCGGGGGTACTGGTGGGGGGATGCCTAATACACCATGCGAATGAACTTAAACACAGCAAACAACAGCAGAACAGGGCAGGCTGTAAAATACAGCGCTTCCCAGTTGCCTGTTTCAAAAGGGATCATTCTGAAAATGAACCTTCTGGCGCGCCGTGATCTGTAAGAAGATGTGATGGGTAATGGGGAGCATGAGAAATTTGAATGGAGCCTCAGAGGCCTGGCCCGAGAAGCTCAGAGGCTCTGAGAATGTTCTAGAAGCCCCCAGGCCCAGGATGTTCTAGAAGCCTCGAGCCTCCTAGAATGTTCCGGAGGCTTTGGGCCTCCTAGAATGTTCCGGAAGCCTTGAGGCTCCTAGAATGTTCCTGAGGTGACTGGGCTGCCCAGGATGTTCCGGAAGGACTGAGGCCCCAGGAATGTTCCGGAAGCTCGGAGGCCGTGAGCGCGTTCTGGCAGCTGCCACCGTGAGGACGCGAGACCGTGGTTTGGTCGGGGGCCAGCTGGTTCGAGGGGTGTACTAAGTGTCGGTTTTGTTTCCCTTCCATGGCCCCAAGTGTCAGGACCCAAGGGGTTCCGAAAGATTGCCATGTTAATGCGGGCAATGAGTCTCACCGATGTCGGAGGTAAGTCGCACTCTCGCCCACCCCACCCCGCGTCCGTGTCGAGGGACCCCAGCACCGGGACGGTGTAGCTTTGTAGTTGCTTCGTTGTTAGGAGGCCTTTCACCGCGAGAGCGATTCAGGCAATTGGGCTTAAGAACAGACTCCCATTGGGGTCCTCGGGGGTTTGCAGTTTGGAGACACTTTAGTTGTCAGAGTTGCTGATTTTTTTATGTTTTAAGGGTAAAAGCCTTGCTGTTAGGAGACTTGAGTTTCTGCATTTTGGGTTTTTATTAGCTGCCTTTCAAGCTCTAAACAGCTCTGTTCAGAGTAATCTTCTGTATCATGGCAGCTGTTCATTATGACAGAAGATCATAAAGTATTCTCGCATGTCCTGGCCTAATCCAGTCCCGGTTTTCAAGACCCCAGTGTCTGCCGGTTCTCCAGTCAGCTGTCCACAGTTTATACAAGCACAGTTTCTTTCCCATTGATAAAGAACCTCTTTTCCCAAAGGATACAAAAACAAATGAATAAAGATTTGGGGACTCAAATAATGAGTACTGTATTAGTGATGTTTTTGTGGTTTGATCAGATCGTAACTTGTTGCATGTCTTCCAAAACAAGTTTGTCGGACTATAGGAAAAGAGAGCAATCAAAACTGAATATTCATAAGTGGTGGTTTCCCTCACAGTCATGCATATGATATCATGTTGTGCTATTGTTGGTTGTTTTTGTCTTCAGTTTTAGCTTTTGTGGGTCAACTTCACTCAGCTACCACTGGTATCAGAAAATTGTACATTAGCAGGACTTCCATGGATTAATACCATTTCCTAAATCAAGGGCTGTGGGATCTTGAGAAACTTTATAGTTGGTCTACCAGATCGATATGTATAGTACCTGGGAAGCCTAGGAAATTGCAGTGTGACCCGATGACTTGATTATTATTGATTGACTTGATTACGATTATTGACACAACCTGATGAGTGACTGCATGACTTTCTCTTCAGTATCTTAAGAGATACTTTTGCTGTAGTGTTGAGCAAGATTTAAACTATTATTTAAACAGGTCAATGTCCACTAGACGTTCTTTCATGCTTGCCCACAGCTAAAGTTGAACCCAGGTTGCTGGAGGACTTAACGTTTGGCACAGGTTCACGTGCAGCAGAGCGCTTGTCCTCTCGTGAAAAATTCAGAAGCAATCGGAGGAGCAGCTTTTGTTGCGCGCTGTTATCGGAGAGAGCGGACGACAGCGCTGGGAGAGGAGAGACAGTAGACTGGGTTACAGGGCATGGCGAGTGACAGGCTGTGGGAGAGCAGTATGGTAGATGAGGCTTTTGGAGATCCAGCACAGATCCCATTACTGCTGTCTTTGTTAAGCTCCTGGCGGTTATTTGACCCTGGAGACAGCACGGGTATAGAGTTACGGACTTGAACGTTGGTATAGGGTGCACATATTCTTTAATTGCTCTTTGATTCCCGTAAAAGGCTTCGAATGTTGCTCAAGGTAAATATTGACTTGATCACAATAGGTTTTCCCCCATCTGCATCTCTGTGTTGAGCTTTTTACTGTATTGCAAGCAAACTCTCACCTTCTGTCAAGCCCTGAATCCACACCATTCGCTTGGAGAAACGTTTTCAAGCACAGTTACTTAACAGTTTCTGAATGAATTTGTATGAATAAGTAAGGTATCTGTAATGAGCTGTTTATGTAAAGCAATAACTCACAGCTGTGACAATGGTATTTGCTCCAGAGGCTTATAGAGAGCACCTCTTTAGCAATAGATCAGAGCACACAACAGCTCAACATGTATGGGTATAGTAACACTCTGGATCCAAAATCGGAGCTGGGAATCTGTTTGTAATAATAACCAACACGTGTCTTTAGATTAACACCATGTTCTTTGGGGTGAGGGCTGTATTTAGGCCTCAAGGTCAGGTCATTTGTGGCTGTCTAGATACAACCAGGTCTTGCAGGTGAAGTGCATTTCCAGCCGTGAGACTAATTAAGAAAGACTTTGCAACTACTATGGAGAGAACAGGGAGAAATGTGTCATCTGTCGTATGGGATGGCATGGCTGGGTTTTGATTTAAGCAGTGGGAGGTTGGACAACAAGTCGGGGCTGATCAGATGCTATTTCAGGCTTGCTTTACGAAGGCAGCATGAGGGAGGCTTGTGATGCCTCCGGCAGGAAGGTGTCATGCCTGTTGGTATATTGTGTCCCTGCAGGATGACACCTCGAAATTCGTCCAGGAAAAACAGTATCGTTAATGGGAATGATTGGAAGGTGAACTCAAACCACAGGAGTTTTAGATTTTAAAACTTGTGCTCCCTTGAGACACCGTCTCTGACTTCTGCTACTTTATCGAACTAATTTGAAACTAGCGGGTGGATTCAAAGTCATTAAGGGCCTTGTAAAAAAAAAAAAGCTGTGAGAATTTGTCACCCATTGCCAGGTTTAAGCTGTTTACAATTGTGAGAGGATTGATCAAAGCTACAGGGTTTTGTTTTTCATAACGTGTTGTTCTGGAGTAATAATTATCTGAAGAGATTAAGAAAATTGAACGGTGTGAATTGACCAGACTGGAGCCCTTGTTTTCCTCTAGTTTAGCCCAGTTTGGGGTCTATTTAGAGTTGGGGAAAAATACTCCTGTAGCTTCCTGGTTCAAGTGGGCAAGAGAGCAGCACATTACTATCGCGAGGGAGGCCTAGCTTGTAGTTGGCATTGCGAGTGTCTTGGAGCAGTTGTCTTCCCAAGGTTTGGTCAACTCTGAATCGAGGTGTGTAATGACAGGACCTTGTATCTTGTCATGCATTTAAGAATGGGCTGTCAAGGCTGGTATATGTCAATCGTATTGTTAGGGTGTGTGCCATAATTTTCATAATCATGGGAATGTCGCTTCAGGTACTCTTCATAATAATTGTACCGTTGATTGTGCTGCAGTCACGCACAGGCTGAATTAAAGAGCCCAAGTCCAGGAACAGAAATCTGGCACTTTTGATTTTTTTCAACACTTTGAGATGTGATGTCAGAAGGACGTTTATTAATGTAGCACGTTAATCTCCGAGTTCACAGGGCATCTCCCCCATGGGCTTGTGCAACAGAAACATGTTTCCTCCACTCACTTCCTGGAAATCAGCTTGCGGAAGTCTTTCCAGACGACCTTTTGTTTGGGTTGTTAAAAGCCTAAAGGCTTATAACATTTGCAAATAATAAGTCTGGGGTATTTCGCAGGTAGAATGGATGTTTCATATTTATCTTTTGTATCAAGGCAGATTTCTCTGATTCAGGGGTATGATTTGTTAAAGCCCCTGCCGTCTGTAAGTCCTGAAATGGATCTCCCTGCTATTCAGCAGGGGTGTATTGGTTCTGGCTGACGTGAACAGAAACAAAATGCCGATTACAGTATATTTTTCAATGGTGCTATTTTGACAATTTTTAAAGGGACCTTCGGATGCCCATTACATTTGCAAATACAGGTAAGAGTTTTTTTTTTCCACGCAAGTCTCTCCATGTCTGTGCCGTACCAATCTATTTTAATCTGCCACCGAAATAAATGTTGCACCAAAGTGTTGGATCAAGTACGATACACAGGGATCTCCTATGACACTGACTGTACAGTGAAGCACTGTGGACAGGGATTGGCCCTTAATGGAATTTCATTCCAACACCTTAATTACCATTGGACCAGTTATTTCAACTAAATAGGGATGTTCAGTATTTCACTCTTTTCTGATTGCTCTCCTTGTCTTGCGTTTCAAATTAGTGTTGGCTTATTGCAGTAGTTAATGAGTCCCTTGTGTGGGATGCTGCTGTCAAAAACATATTATTTGATACATGTATGCCTTAACTGCTTGCATTTGCAGGATAGAGAGGTACCACCTCCATCCTTCGCGGGCTGCTAATAAGACTGAACCCCAGATCATTCTCACAACACCTGATCCAGCCCCTCATCGTCACCGCGTGTCGCTTATAAATTGTTAATTTACTAAGTACAGTGTCTGGTCAGACACGCAGCCCTGCAAAAAAAAAAACAGATTAAAGCTTAATAACTAAACACACTGCCTTCACTGGTGCCCGGGGTTAACCATATGGGCAAGAGGGTGGAGCAGTGGTAAGGGTTGATGAGCATAACCAATAAATGTTTTTGGGGAAAAAAAACACAGAAGGGCCACTTTCTATCCCCAGCTCCCACTGTGTGTGAGCACGTCGGCGGAGATCCCTTGCTGCATTGTGTGGAATTGTGTACACAGGGTTGGCACAGAGTTGTGTCCTGGATACTTGGTGTCTATTGAAAGAATACCTTTTGCTGGAGGGACATCATGCTGAAACTTGTACAGCTTTCTGACAGAAAACGCACGTCCCACATTTTGCCCAGAATGAGTCCAGGAAGCTTTCTGCACAGATGATTGACCTGCAATCCCAAATTTGGAATGAGTTTTTTTTTTTCTGGGGGCCAAATTTAGGAGTAGATCCTGTTCCATTCCAGCTCGGAGACCAGGACTGCCGTGTCTCATGGCGAGGAATAAGTGACGATGTGAGAGGCCTAAGCGACATTTCCAAAAATGAATGTTAATTTAGCTGCTACTAGAATAAAAAAAGGAGACTTTTAACTGCAAGCCATCTCGAACTGAAAAACTCCATGGTAGCACTGCCATGGAGAGAATTATGAACGAACGGAAATGAGCTGAATAATTCATCCTTCCTGCATCCTAACTGCTTCATCCAGCTCACGGTCGTGGTCGAGCCAGAGCCTATCCCAGCAGGGCGCACCCTGGACAGGACACCAGTCCGTCGCAGGGCAGACAACAGGCACTCACGGCAGGGTCAGTTTACCCAGCAGCCAGTTAACCCACCAGCGTGGTTTTTATTTGGAGTGTGGGAGACAGTGCAAACACAGAGAATATACAACGTCCTGGAATTTAACCCAGGGCCCCGTGCTGCAAGCCAGCAGTGCTTACCGCTATGCAATTCAATATAGCAAAATAACACAAGGCAGGGCTAAAGTTCACACGACCCAAGACACGTTTCCTGTATGTCTCTGCATGCAGGAGCCTGTGCAGACTGGCTTGCAGCCGGAGTCCGATGGCATCACTGATGCCGGCCTCTGGCCTTTGTGTGACACGAAACCTTCCTCCTTAGACATCAGACCTTTGTTTCTGCACACACAGTAGTTCTCTGCATCTCCTTCGTTTTCGGAACGGCACTGAACTTTCAGTGAATCAGTTACAGTCGCAAGTCCTGGTCTCCGTATTGCATTAATCCGATTCTTAAAGTATACAGCCCCGTGAAGGAATCTCAGACCATAGCTGTGTCTCCCTGAGGCCTTCTTCCAAAAAGCTGTACTGTTGAGCAGGAATGGGCTGTTTTAATTCGAACCTTCAGTCCTGTCATGGCTCTAGATGTTCCCCTTAAATCTGGATCTGGAAGGTCTCTGATCCTCTTAGCAAAGAACTGTCTGAGTACTGGATACCAGTTCAGAGTTGACAGGATATCATTTGCCAACCTTTTGTATGCAGTTATCAAGAAACCGCAACAACAGTCGTTTTTTTTTTGTTTTTCTTGTTGTCGTGGCCTTCTTGTGGATCAGTTTGAATATTCCCGCTCTGTGGTTCCCGTCAGCTCTGTAACCCTGGCTGCTGCTCGCCCATTTCTGTCTGCTGTCGTCCTCCGCGGGGCCGGTTGAATGGGCGCGATTGTTCCCAGAGCGCTGTGGGCTCTGGAAGGGATCCAGGTTTCACAGCTGCACGGGACAGAAGAATATAGGTTATCAATCCCTGCCCTGTCCCGGCGCCCATCTCCGTGGAGATGGGTTTTGTAATGGAGAATGAAAAGCTTGTCAGGTTGTTTCACCCTCCTCCCCCTCCCAAGCAGTGAGGAAGAGAAGGAGATTCTCACTCTCCGTGACTTCACAAGGCACTGAAAGAGCACGCTAGTGAGTTGGTTCTTTTATTGCATCACGGGGTGTTGGAGATGACATGCCTGTAACTTTTCTCTTCATCGTTTGCATCTTGTTGATTTTTCTGTTGTTCCGCCGGAGTTCTGCATGTCTTCCAAGCTCTTAGTCTGCTGTGCAGGGAGAGAGATGGAGGCGACGTGAAACGTATGCAGTGCCCCCCTTCAATTTCATCACGCTGGGAGGGTACAGCACCTGCCGGCGAGCTGTGGTAACAGTGGGAGAGTCTGATGAAGCTGGCGCTGAACGTGCAAAACGCATAGGGGCCTGGCACGGACCACAGGGGGGCGCTGTTGTGTCGCAAGCCCCCGCGGGCTTCACACCAAGTCAAAGCCTGCAGCACAGCACGGCCAGCGGTGCACTTTCGCTTGGGGAATCCCAGACGCAGCTGGCTGAGACCGCTTCCAAATGTGGACCAGCTCGGGTCTGGGCTTCTCATCAGACACTGCTGCAGGAGGAGCCCCATCTGAACCCCGTTTCTGATTGCACCTTAATCGGGTCCGCGCTGTTTTGGCCCTGGGGCGTCGGCTCACAGCTGCTGAGGAAACGCCAAGTGCACATGGCTCCGTCTCGAGCGTTTTAGCAGGAGGGCAGCTCTGTACAACTGCAAGTAACGGCAGGCAGATGGCAGCCCCAAACGCACTCAGCCGCGGCACGGATACGCGCTGGCATCTTCAGGGCAGGGGCAGCGGACCAGTGAGCTTCCAAGACGTGTGCGCTGTGGAGAGATGTGAGGGGTGTGTGCGTGGCAGCTGTGGGGGCGCATGTGGCGGCGCGCTGTTTTTTTGACCTCTCTGTTCTGCGTTTTGTGTGTCTTGTCCTTTTTCCCACACAGGACTTGCATAACGGGTCACTCACCCAGTGCGGGCTCTTGAAAGCTTGCAGGCTAAATGGTCCCACTCCTGCAAAAATGCATTGCTAGTTCTTAGCTTGCAATGCCCCAGAGCTCCTGACCGAGAGAGTGGTAGAGCGCAGCACTCCAAGCAGACACTCTTATGTACTATTATACGCATTTCTCTTCCCTTTGTGGTCCAATCCAGAGGAAATGGCCACTCTCATGGCTCCAGACATTGATACCAGCTGGCAGTGTTGGGTGTCCTGGAAACTTTGCCTCATTTAAATTTACACACCAGCTTCGTCAGTCGAGATTTCCAAGCCTCCTTACGTTACTCTGAGATCAGTGCCCCCTGCGTCCCAGTACTTGGGAGAGTGCTGTAGTGTCTTCTAGCTCATAGTTTCTCAGCTCTGAAGCGGTTTCTTGTCTAACAGCCGTGTGATTGATTAAATCGCTGTTTCTTTGATTTGCTCTCTGATTACTGGATCGTCGGAATTCGCTAACCTTGCTGTTCTGTTGTGCTTAATATCCCTCGTTAGTGTGCATAGGTCTGTTTGCTACTTCTGTTTTCAAATCCTTATTGGGCTGCTTTCCCTGATGCCCACCTGGAGAAATAAACCACATTGTCCAGGACAGCTTGCAGTGGGGGGCTGGCAGCTGGGAGCAATCTGAATGCAGCCTCCCGAACGCCCTGCAGACTTCATTCAGGGTGGTCCAGTTCTGGTCTGGGAGGGGCCAGTGTGTGGAAGTTCTTTAGGCCATTTTAAGGCAGCAGCATATGAAGAGGAAGGAGAGGATTTAAATTTGGCTAAAGGGCAGTTATGTGTAGATGTAGGTCATGAGGATCTGAGGTGGAATGGAAAGCCACAGGCACACTCACCTCCCATGAGTTGGACCCAGCCTGTCTAAATTAATTGGCCATCAGATTCGGGTGGAGCTGCAGTCTGTAGACATCCAGGGTTGCACAAGATCCTGTCATTTGGATCCAGTCGGCTGTAAGAATCACAGTGTGTTATGGGAGTTGTAGTTCTAAATCTAACGACTTTGCTTGTTCCAAGAACGTGATTTGTTTTTGCTGTTTGGGCAACCTTTAGCCCAACAGAGTGCCTTCATGTTTCAGCCTCTCATTCCACTGCTTTGAGTGGTCTTCCGCAGCTGGAGGGTCATTTCGTTAACGAAAGCAGCGAAGTCTTGCAGTGGAACGGTGTTCAAACGTCGCACCCCTGGCTGGGTAGGGAAGGCCCCGAGGGAGCGTGTCCCTGGGTGATCAGCTGAGGGTTGTGCCCTGCCGTGCTGTAACACTCCCTCTCTCCGCTGTGATTCCAGGCAAGGAGCACGGATAACCTGGACAGCTCAGGGGAGCCGGGCTCTCGCTCCGCGGGAGGCAACGCCGCTGGGAAGGGGAAAATGACCAAAAGGTGAGGACCTGTTTTTTTTTTTACTCGGCTGCAGATTTTGTTTTTCCCCTCTCAAAATTAACTTTATTTCTCGCACAGAAAAAATTCACAGTAAGTACACACTCACAGATTATCAATCCCCTGTTAAAGAAAACCTTTCGAAATCAGGTCCGTTATTGACCAGTGCAAGTGTGTGACGGGGCCGGATCTGACCAATGAGAGAGTCCCTCCAAGCCCTGCCCCTTGCTGTCATCCAGGCCGTTTCCCTGTCCCGGCTCTGAAACGCTGGTCGTCCGGTCCTCCGCAGGAGAACAGGGAACAGGGATTCCCTCCACAGTCCCTTCCAGCGCTCCCTCGCCGTGGAGAATCTCCAGTTGGCGACGTTGCCCTCCCTCCTCCCTCTGAGCTCCACAGGGATCCTCTCCTCCTGCTCCCTCGCTGCCCACTCCGGGAGTGTCCCTCGCCTTCCACAGCCCCGGTTCCGTGAGGGACACCAGTAGCCAGTGCAGGTGCCGTGTCCCCTTGTCCGGGCGGGCTGGTGGTCCGGCTGGGGTGTGGAGGAGCGGTTAGGACTGGAAGGTCGCGGGTTCAGATCCCGGACAGGGCGGTGCTCTCGAACCCCTCGCCAAGCCTCTCCGCCCGTACTGCTCCCCTGGCTGTGTGAGGATGAGCGCTGGAGGAAGTGGCTTTCAGTAACAGTGTCTGTCGAATCAGTTAATAATGGCTCCGATTTCCACAGAGGGTCCGGCGTGATCTCGGATGGAAATCTGGGAACGGGACTCTTCGTGTTGGAAAATGGTTGGGGAAAGGACGTGAAGATTTTTATTGTGAAGTGTTGTGCTGTGTTAGCCTCTGCTTGAAGAGGACTAACTGTCACCGTCTCACGGCCTGCTGTCCAGAGCAGTCAAAATGTCCCTTCTGCACCAAGGAATGGACAAAAGGGGGAAGGCTCCTATTTCCCATTGTTAACAGTTTTGTTTTTTATTTTATAACAAAAGCACAGCTGGCTGTGGTTGTGTTATCGGCGGGTGGTTTTTACCAGTTTGTTTCACGTTTTGTTTTTTATATCCTGTCGACCTGCATTTCCAGGTTGGTTTCTCGGCCTTCTGAGAGTTTCTCATTCCGTCCAGTTTGCTCGGACACTTGTCCTTGCTGTATCAGACGCTAGCCGGCGCCCTTGTGTTTTACAGGCTGTCCATTGTGAAAGGTCACTTCCCGAAGCTGGTGGACTGTGCCCACTTCCACTACGAGAATGTGGATTTCGGAACGATCCAGGTAACCTTTGTCTCTAGCCCTGAAAGGAAACTAAGATATGAGAACTGTAAAAGATGGCAACTGCTGTCCCAGTTTCTCAGACTGGTTATAGCATCTCAGTAGCACAATAAATTCATTGGCAGTATTTTTTAGAAAAAATGAATCGGCACAACATCGTGAACTTTTTATTTTTGCTATGTTTTCCTTGCTTGGTAAGGCGTTATCTGTCAGTTCGGGCAAAATAAAAACGATCTTTCGAGAGCGAGTGTAGGAGCAGAGTAGTAACTGGCCCCAGACAGGGAAAAGAAGGCCGTTCACGTTGTGTTTTCGACAGTTTTGTACTCGAAATCCAAACACATCCCTGGTGCAGCCTGCAGTGTGTGGGCTTATATAAGAGCCTGAGGTGGATGCAAATTGAAACGGATCAAACGGCTTATGTCATGAGTTCCTCGTCTTTCTCCTTCCACTGAAATATCACCCCGTATCACAGACTAAAAGATCTGAACATTCCTCATTAATCTGAACATGAATCATTTTTTAAATGATGTGTTTAGTCTGGTGTGTGTGTGTGTTTGTGTGTGTGTGTGGGGGGGGGTGGTCTTTTAAGCCATTGGCAGGACTGAAGCCAATCTTTTTTCTGTCTGATGACCTTCAAAAAAATCCAAGTCACCCCCCCCCACCTCCTTCTTTCCCCTGTCTTGAGAGTGTTATTGTTTGCTGGAGCAGAAGAGAGAAATGTGTGAATCACTCTGGCAGTCAGTCCAGGGTCGGTCAGGGTCCTGGTACCTCCTGCAGTGAGGCTCTTCATCATCAGAGTCAGTGTGCACGGACAGGCCGAAGGAACTGCCTCTTCTCAGTCTTGGCTAAATCTCACCCTCTGAAGCCTGAAAGTCTCACGCATCTACATTTCAAGTCTAGGCTGAGTAAAAATGAAGCAATAAAAGTAAAACTATGGTTAGAGAAACCCGTGATTTCGTTCATTAACCCATGCCTTTTTGGAACAGAAACCATCAGTACAGATAGTTTGCAGTCACAATTTTCAATACAAAGCCTTACGCATTAGGGGTTTGGACTCTTGAGAGCTGTGGTAGTATGATGTAGAAAAAAAAAACCCTCAGGTTTTTCTTCTTCCTGTGTGAAAGCCTGGTGTTTAGATTTTTGCAGTGAGCTGCTGTAGGGTCCTGTCCAGGTGGGCTATAGTTCTCTCAGGGCGATGAATGTTACCGCCTCCCTGACGCGCATCTGCCTGGAACGGCTTGTGAAAGACTCTAACCTCTGTGTCTGTTCTCTCAGCTGCAGTTCGCCAGTGAGCAGAACAGTGCCAACTGGGCATCTGTTACAGGCAAGGACCTGGTCTTCCTGGTACAGGTGTCATGCCAGGTGAGCATAGCCAGCCTTTCCTGATGAGACGCGCCTCCGCCCATTGAGTATTTTGATTCAGTGTGTGTTGTGGTTGGTTTCTTTTTTTTTTTCTAAACATGCAATATACAATTCATTGATAGAGCCAAAACATGCCTCACAAGCAACAACTTTTTTTTTTTAAACAAACACTTATTATTAATACAATGCGCACAGTAAGCAACGCACAACATAAACATACAACATACAAGTTTTGGTTGGTTTCTGAATTGACTTCACCAGCCAGGAGCATGTAAGTAATTAAGTGTTGGAAGATCATTTAGACTGCAGAGGAAGGGAAAATACAGGATTCTAGGCATTTCATTTAGGGTGTCGTGATCTGCCACAGAAGACTAAACGGGGTTTGCTTTATCAATCCCAACACCCAGTCCCATTCTCATATCGCACCTTTCAACATAGAGATTTCTCGAGGCACTGGACAGAAATTATACAAAAAACCGTGCTGTATATGGAGTATGTGATGAAACCAGCTGTCAGTGCCGCAAGGGCGAACACGAGCCGAAGGAAACGGATTAAGGGTGTGACGAGCTCAGCGGTGTGTGCGTGTCTTTGCGCTCAGGGGAAGACCTGGCTGGTCCGCAGGACCTACGAGGAGTTCCGGACGCTGGACAGTCACCTGCACCAGTGCATATACGATCGCCGCTACTCCCAGCTGGTGGAGCTGCCACCCATCGAGGAATTCAGCGAGAGGCTGGAGGTAGGGGGCGTCTCTGGTCCGGCCGTGCGCGTCCGTCTTTCGTTCGAGCCGAAAAGGGGCTGGAGCGAAATTCCCCAGGAGTTGTGTCGAAGCCGACTTCCTGGAATCCAGGAAGAGGTCCACTGATCGACGCACCACGGCGCCTCTCATTTTAAGAGCTGTGGTGTGCGCCTGAGGCAAGGATGGCGGGAGGAAGTAATTCTGAAAGGGCTGGGGAATGATCCTCAAAATTGCTTCGGCAGCATTTCGCAGAAGCAGCGGTCCTCCTGGCGGCTGACCTCAGTGAGATGCAGCAGGCGGTTTGGGTTCCGATCAGCATCGGCGCAGATCATGGTGTCTTTTCAAGCTTGGGTTATGACAGCAGTGGCGTTTGGGCTTGGTCAGAGAGAACTCTCAGGGCTCAAGGGGCGACAGTGACCCCCCCATGACTTCCCGGACCCCTGCACGTTTTCTTGACGTCCACGAGACGCACCCCCTATCCCGATCAGTGCTGATGCCCCTGTAGAGTCAATGCAGTGAATGGGAAGGTGGCCTGACTGCCCCTCCTCATCCTCCCCTCACACGTGGGTACAGCAGTCCAGAGATTCAAAAAGAAACCACAGGGTCAGTTCAAACTGGGTGCTAATCTAACACAAACTAATTGAGGATTCTTAGACCGTCTTAAAAACAAGGTTTCCTGCAGCGGGCCGTGTAAAGCCTCTGCCTCGCTCTGCCTCTGTTCACAGCTCTTCACCCCTCTGCTGTCCGAATACCTGAACCGCCTCTCCATGATCGTGGACAACAAGCTGAACTGCGGGCCTGTCCTCACCTGGATGGAGGTAAGGCGCCAGCACAGCCTGCTGGGACATGTCTGGACTCGCAGCTCGCAGTGGTTCAAACCAGCCGCCGAGTCCCGACGGCTTTCCCAGAAGTCTGCTGGAAAGCCCTAATACAGGAGAAGCTGGGCAGGAAGGGGCGGGTCAAGCTGTCAGGACCAGCAGGGTCCTCCGGTTCTTCTTTATTCTACCTCTGATCTTACCTACGTCAACGAGGCGATTGTGGGCATCAGTCGAATCATTAGGGTTCTTTAGGTCTTAATCGGTTGGGAGTTAAAGAGCACCTGTAAAATCTATCCAGTGTCTATCCAAGGCCTTCTGTCTGGCTCACTGGGCTGATTAAGAATGTAGACAAGCCTGCAGCTATTGTGCATATTAGTGTTTATTTATATGCGTAAGGAAACATCATGAATGATTTTCACAGACACAACCTGCTGCTTATATGTATATTTGTTGATCACATGGTGGAGCAGTGGTTAGCATTGGTGTCTCACAGCACTAGGGCCCTGGGTTCAATTCCCACGCAGATAGCACCCCAGGAATTGTTTGGATCTTCTCCCTGGGTTTCCTCCAGGTGCTCCGATTTCCTCGCACAGTCCTTACTCGAGTACGTGGGTTAATCGGCGTCTTGGAAAATTGCGCTTGGTGCGAGTGTGTGCATCTGTGTCTGCCCCGGTGCTTGCTGGGACGGGCTCCGGCTCCCCACGGCCCTCCAATGCATAGGGTGCTTCCAAGATGGATGGTTCTCTCATCTAAACACGTGTTAACAGATTTCGTCAGCTTGGTCTCCTGGACCCGTCTTTGACTGCCCTTCCTGGTGGGTTTTTCCGTTTCTCTCCCGCGGGCAGATCGATAACCGAGGAAACCGGTTCCTGCTGAAGGAGGAGGCGTCCCTCAACATTCCAGCCATCGCGGCCGCCCACGTCATCAAGCGCTACACGGCGCAGGCCAGCGACGAGATCTCCATCGAGGTGCGTCTCGATTGGCCGAGCCTGCCAGCTGATTGGCCGAGCCTGCCAGCTGATTGGCCGAACCTGCCAGCTGATTGGTTGGCTTAAACTGTAACCTGTACTAATGGAGAAGGAAGATGTTAAATACCAAAATTCTGCAATTATTTATGGAGCATAATCGTAATAATCAGCATAATTGTGTGCTTGGGCTACTAGATGCATGGTGCACAGGGAGATTCCACTATAAACATGACTCTTGGTCAGTGGTTTATGGTAAAGAGAAAGGAGTGAACTTGTAAGGAATAAAAGAGTCCATTCTGTCCGACTTTATCTCTCCACTCTCTCCTCCACACACCTTGTCCTGTTTCATCCTCCTCAAAATTATTTCCAGCTCTGTCCCTGAGGCGCCCTGATTGCCTATTTCTGGGTATCTGTGCCAGGGATATGGGTGACCCGTGCCGTTAAAGGTCTCTTTTGGGACTTCTCAAGTGCAAATGAGACAGGAAATTCGGAAACCATTCTTTTCTTTTCTGGGTCAGACGCCAGCTGTGGGGGGGGGGTGGGGGACGAGATCTCGGCTGCAGTGGGTTGCTTTTTGTCTGATGCAGCTTTAAAACAATGGGGTTCAGCTCCTGAGTGCCTCTGCTTACTCTGCCTTCAGATTGCAGGATGAGGGCTGTGGGCCGGAGGCCAAGCGTGAGACCAGGGCTCACCCAAGCGATAGAGCACAGCAGGCTACCGGCCATTGCAATCTGGTGGGATTGTAGTGGGTTAGGGTATGCTCAGTTTTATGCACCATACCAATCCCTGTAACTTGCAGGTCATTTTGTCATGTTATCAGCAAGAGCTCCGTCATTCCAGAGGGTAGAAGTAGTTAGAGATAGTGCAGTGGAGAAAGACGCTACACTTTATGCTGATTGCACCTGGCACTTGAACACTGGTATTATATGATTAGTATTATTTTCCGTCCGGCTCGGGTATTCCCTGGCTCTGAAACGACACCAGCTGTTTGTTACCCTGGCCCTCCGGGACACGTTTTCCTTTCCGCAGGTTGGCGATATCCTCTCGGTGATCGACATGCCCCCCAAGGAGGAGACGAGCTGGTGGAGAGGCAAGCATGGCTTCCAGGTACAGATCCGTCTTTCTGAGAAAAGCCCGGTTTTACAGCAGGGCCGCACAGGGGTCAGCACAGCCCAGTGCTGAGCGGATTCTGAAAAGGATGTAGTGGCCCTGTGAGCAGGGCTGCACTGCTCGTTCTGCACCTCGTGCTCGCTGCAGTCTCAGTGTCCCGTCTTGACCCGGTGCCTGTCGATCTGCCGCAGGTCGGCTTCTTCCCCAGCGAGTGCGTGGAGCTGATCAACGAGAGGAGAGCCCAGCCCTCCTGCGCGCCGGCGGCCAAACTAGGTGAGTGTACCACTCGCCTTGGGGTGTGGGAGTGGGAGTGGGAGTGGGGGGGGCTCTGGGCTGGTCGCTGAAAGGATGGGGGTTCGAATCCCAGGTGGAGCACTGCTCTCGTGCCTTTGATTGAGGCCCCTCACTCCGATTTCTCCCATAAAGCGATGGATAAGTCAACAGAAGCTGTCTTCACTGTAAATGGGAATTTGTGCTCAGTTGACTTCATTCCAGCATCCATTCCGTTATCATTAGAGGCCCAATATATATATATATAGCAGAGATCTCTGGACAGTGGCCCTGGACAATGACACAGTGAGCAGTTCCAGGTGTAGGACTGAGAATGAGCAGCTCGAGTCCAGATGTACTGGCTGGTCAGAGTGGGTTTTGGCTTCGTCGGTGGCTCTGTGACGAGCCGGTCAGATGAGGTTGTTGGATTAGCGTTCGAGGAACGGGCGGGATGAGCAGGCCCGGGGTATCCTCCTTTCCAAACCCTTTCCGTGCACGGGCAGTATCCGTAAGAGACTGCATGAGGAGAGGCAGAGCTGTGACATCACCGATTCAGCGCCTTCAGAATGATTCAAAGTGGTTGGGGTGCCTGCAGGTTTGGGTGTAGGTTTGGCAGATTTCGGGGTGTCATAGTAGTTGGCAAGGCAGAGGGGAGTGGTTCTGAGGGTGAATGGAATTTGGGGGAATAGCAGTCTGGCGAATAGAGTAGAAACGGACCGCCTGGGCAATGGGGGTTTTTCTGAAGTGAAACTGGGACGAGGCTCAGAGTGGAAACTCAGGGAAGCCCAGAGTGCAGTGTGCGTTCAGCCCAGCGATTGACACCCCCCTCCCAACTGCATGTCCTTGTGCTTTCAGATGTTGACGGCAGTAACGCCAAGGCTGGGATAGTTGGTGTCCAGCGCCCTCCTTCTCCGACATCAGGTAAAAATGACAATTATTACTAAAGACATTGAGGACCCGGGTCTTCAGCTCCCTCTGTGATGGGGCACCTTCTTGGATCTTACAAGAAGAAGCTCTTTTGCACTGGCTGGAGTACAGATCACACAAGATGAAAGGTTAAGCCAGCCGATCGGCAGGGCAACACGTAAACAGGCTGAAAGCAGAGGCAAGATGAAGAATTTAGCAAGAGCAGAGGCTTTGGCCACCTGAATCCTTAGAGCAGGGCTGTGGAATCTTCCGTGACCACAGGGAGTCGATATCTTTTATCCGTTCAACATCCAGTCTAAAAACAAATGCCATCCTTTCATCACGCAGCGTCTCACTCTCTGTCACTCCAGTAGGGCCATTTGGACAAGTTTGTTCTGGTGGAATGAGTGCAATCTACTGGACCATAGGCCTAACAAAAAAGACTGCCTGTTTGGAGTGCAGCAACCCCAAACAGCATGCCTATTGAGGATGGAGAACCGAAGCTCCTTGTTTACCTGGTACAGATGACCCGATGGGGGTGAAATCTGCCCCCCGGAATAAGTCAGGAAGCATCTGGCTGATATTCTGAGACCCATAACCAAACAAGGGTGGCAGGCTGAAGGGAGCTCCCCTCCTTTGCTCACAAGTTCTCATTGTGCTGATAGAACGCATATCAGTGGCTCCTCAACGTAGGAAGAACGTGCATTTGGAGCACATTCTGTGAATTCTCCATGTACTCTGAGTTGCTTCTTTATGTTATCAGATTGTCATTTTGTCTTGGTGTTTGTTGTGTTTTTGTCGTCTTTCTCTCTCTTTCTCTTAGTTCTGCATCCTTGGTTCCTAAGACTTGCTGGTAACTGTTTATTACAAAGTATTTTTCCCCCCTAATTTACTGACATATAGACAAAGCCATTCACAGTCATTCACGCAATGAGCCACTGTGGTAATCTCACGCCATTTTGGCCATGAAAGGGTACAGACCTTTTCCACAGTTTCAGGATGAATAGCTTTCAGGGTTCACAGCTTTCTCCTCTCACTGGAAATCAATTCTAGGTGGTTGTCCCAATTTTAAGAGGGGAAAAACAAGGAAAAGGGGGCAGGTTTCTGTGGTGTGGACAAGCCATTCCTTTTCAGCAGCCTTCAGTGGGTCAGTTTTAGTTCAAATTACAGGCTGTGTGATAATGAAGAATACACAGACACTACCTCGCACTCTCTGTAATATCGCAGTGGTTAGGGTTACAGCCTTGCAGCCCTGAAGCCCTGGGGGGGCTGTCTGTGGGGAGTTTGCACGTTCTCCCCTGTTTGTGTGGCTTTCCCCCTGGAGCTCCAGTTCCCTCCCACAGTCCAAAAACATGCTGGTGGGTTAACTGCCTTCTGGGGAAATTGGGCCTGGTGCGCGTGAGTGTGTGTCTGCTCCCCCACAACCCTGTGTTAGATAAAGAGGTAAGAAGAGGGATAGAAGTTGTTTTTTTTTTCCTGGAAGTTTTTATAAAAGCTAGGAGAGCCTAATGCATGTTGTGTTAATGCAAGGACAAAATCAGAGGTAGTGTCTCCTTCCGTTTTAGGCTAAAAAAAAAAATCTGTGTCCTCAGTACCCCTCTGCCGCAGGCCCACGGATCTCTTTTCGAAATAGAAGTTGAAGTCTGAAGGGAGAGGGCTGAATTAGTTGCATTAAGACTTAGGTGGACTAATTAAACAAACCTCAGCTGGGGGTTTGAAGAGACCCAGAAATGGGACTGGGAGCCAGGACTGGGGATCCCTGCTGTTAGATCCTGCTTGTAGCCTTCGGCTGTTGTCCCCATATGTCCATGTGGCACATTCCTAGAGCCCAGTTACACTGCAGTGCACTCTAGACCTGGGCTTGTCCTTCTGCAGCCTTTCCAGTCCTCTCTGCTGCTGTACACCACACAGCAGCGCTGCAGCGTGGGGGCGTGAGGTGGGGCGGTGGCTCTGTGGCTGAGGATCTGCGCCTGTGGCCGGAAGGTTGCTGGTTCGAATCCCGTGGCTGGCAGAGGAATCCTACTCCGTTGGGCGGCGTATAAATGGCCGACCCTGTGCTCTGACCCCAAGCTTCTCTCCCTGTCTGTGTGTCTCATGGAGAGCAAGTTAGGATAAGACAAACCCCCTAATACAAGACATTGTATAAGACCAATAAAGTGATCTTATCTATTTTCTGAGCGCCGTAAAATTACTGGCTGTGAGTGATTAAAACAAAATGAGGCTTGTTGTGTAAATGAATTACGTGCTGTGTCTCTGAAATAGAAGGTCTTCTGTTTTTTCGTCCTTTTGTGTTGCGAAACCTCTGTGAGTCATGCCACAGCAGTGTCCCAGCTTCCCAAAGTGTACAGCTTGCTTTGCAGTTCATCCAGGGTTGTCCAAACGCCACACACGACACGAGTGTCACAACAGCACCTGCCTTTTCAGCTGTGGCGTGCTCGTTAAGGTGCATGTGTGGACTGTCCGACGCAGCTGGTGAAGCAGCAATTGTCAACTCGTTACACTCCCTGAAAACAAGCAGAGCCATTATCTGAGAAGTCAGGTGCCCTGCCACAGAGCAAATCGCTCCAAAGGAGCACCTTTTTGCATTAATTTTCCCCCTCTTTAAGAATTCAGTGGATTATATTGTGTTTTTTAGAATCAGACCTCATTTGCTAACTAAAGAAATGCAGTACGAGGGGAAAGCTGTGAATCTGTGACCCAAACAGAGGGACTTCAGAAGGCGATCGCTGTCCTTCATAGGAGAGCCAGTATATAATTCTGAAGGAAACACTAAAACGCTATTAACCAATCTGTGTTTTACCTAGTATGTGATACTCACCTTGGCCAAAATATACATAGTGCTGCCACCCTGCGAGCTTTGACGGATTAAAATTTAATTTCAGCATTTTTAATGTGTCCAGAATCTCTAATCCAGGAGTCCCAAATTCAGATTTGTTAAACAAGCAAGTTAATTGTGTCAAACCATTGTGATCAAGTGCAGGTAGGTCTCGATTTAGGTGGCAGATAGCTCCCTCAAAAATGCTGCTTAATTCCAAAATGTGTACATTAAGAGCTAATCTCCCCCCAAAAAATTGGATATAAATGGGGGGGGCGGGGGGTTGGTAGGTGTCTCCTATTTAGTCCCAACAAGAAGGTAGAAAATACCGATAAAAAGAAACACTGTGCGCTGACTGTTTGATCAGGAGTCTTCTGCCAACAGACACAGCCGGCCTGTGGGACTGGTGGTTTTCCTCTTGCTGAGCTGATTAATGCCAAGTATTCTGAGGTCTTCTGAGTAACGTTACAAACCGATTCATCCTCATTTGAGTTTTAGCTGATTATTAATAGTATACTGTTTCATTAATTGAATTTTAAGATTATAGGATAGTTTTGGTGGGGGAAAAAATGCATCACAATTACCCATTTTTATTTCCACATACTGTGGATTTGAAGATTTTTGTTCACACTATAACCTACTTCTTTATAGTTTTATTTTTGGGTTTATACCCTATAAACAAAAGGCACAGAGTAAGACAGACATGTAGTTAGTAAGCACTTGATGCTGAGAGATCAACAGACTGATACCAAGACTGCCTGTGTGTGACCACAGCGACTCTCTTGCCCTGGGTGCACAGCTGAGTAAACCGAGTACCCTCAGGCCAGGCGTGTTCAAGTGGGAGCTAAATTCAGAGGTGGGATATATTGGTATACGTTAAACCAGAAAAGTGCAAAAAAGAGATGGTAAATTGAGGACTGCCTCTATGCGTTTCAGTTCATCAACAAAAAAATGCTTTGTAGTTGAGCAGTTAACTCAATTCAGTTAAGACACCAAGCTCCTAAATTCAAACAAAAGACTGGTGTTTGGGACCCCTGTTCTAACCCTTTGGCTAATACCATTGCATTAATTCAACACTCCTGATGCCTCATGGTTGCCAGTACCCGAAAGTGATACAGCAGTGACTGGTCTCACACTCCTGTGAAGGCGTAGCCCAGCCATTTTCTGCTGTTCAGATCCGGAAATTTCGTCCGGAAACGGTGTGTAACGTCAGTTACCCCTGGATCGCGCTGGTTCACTTTGCATTCACCCATCTGCCCAGACACAGGCCAACCCCTCGGGTGCTTCTCCCCAGTTTCCTCCTCCTCCTCCCCCTCCCCCTCCTTCGTCCCCGAGTTTGGCCCCGTTGCGTCCTGCTCTTGGCCCCTTGCCATTCCTGCTCTCAAGTTCTCCGTCTCCATCTCCCGGCCCCAGTGTCCAGGAAGCACGGCAAGCTGATGGGCTTCCTGAGGACCTTCATGAAGTCCCGGCCCAGCAAGCAGAAGCTGAAGCAGAGGGGCATCCTGAAGGAGAGGGTGTTCGGCTGCGACCTCGGGGAGCACCTGCTCAATTCGGGCAGCGAAGGTAACCCCAGATTTCAATCCAGGAGCGGGCGAAGTACGGGCTTCTTTCAGGTCCTTCAAAGGGCAGCTGAGGTCCCACTTTCTCAGACCGGCTAGTACGTCTCGGCAACAGAATGAATTCACTGATTTTATGGGGGGAAAAATGTCACAAATTTCCAATCGAGCACACAATCGAGAACTTATCGTGAAAGTACGGTAACTCACCATGTAGTCGCAAACTCGCATTCGAGCTCCCGAGAACTGTGACATGAAACAGCCCTTCCTGCTCCCTAGTCACTGTAATGGCTACTGTAATGCGATGTGCAGTGAATAAGCAGAGGTTGTGCAGCTGACATTTCACCGCAGAAATGTTCCAACATGATCTGCGTGCAGAGTTAACAAATCAGTAGTGTTCATCGGCCGGAGCTCCATGGTCCCTCTTGAGTTCCCTGCTCGGGGCAGGAAAGGTTTCAGCTGCCTGATCCAGTGTGCCCACCTCAGTCCCTCAGGTGCTCAGGAGCTGTTCGGAGTTCATCGAGAAGCACGGCGTCGTGGACGGGATCTACAGGCACTCTGGGGTGTCCTCCAACATACAGAAACTGCGGTGAGAAATCCACACTGCTTGCCTGGGTTGCGTTTCTCCAGACTGTTGGGTCTTGGTCGCCCCCTTGTGGTGAGTCTGTAAAAGGATCTCCCCCCCCCCTTCTCTCTCGCTCTCCCAGGCACGAGTTTGACAGCGAGAACGTCCCCGACCTGACGCGCGACATCTACATGCAGGACATCCACTGCGTGGGCTCCCTGTGCAAGCTCTACTTCCGCGAGCTGCCCAACCCCCTGCTCACCTACCAGCTCTACGACAAGTTTGCAGTGAGTGTGGCGCAGCGGGAAGGACCGTAGTGCATCGCACTGGTTGGAACTGAACTGACAGGAAGACGCTGGATCTTTGCTGGTCCCTTGAGGCGCCCAGGCTGTGCTGCAGCGAAGGCTGACCTTGATCCTTGAGGGCCCCTCGGCTGCCTCGCTGTTATACCAGCCTGAGCTCCTGACAGAATGCAGGCTCTTCCCCTGTTGTCTTCATTGACCCTCTCGCATGGCTCTGTTCTGTTTGCTGAAAATCTTCGGCAGTCTTCATTTGAACTTTGAATCGGTTTAAGCTGATCCGGACAGATCTAGAAAAACGAACCTTTAATCTTTGTGGACATGTAGAGGGGAGCTCTTGATGTTAATAATGAGGAACTGTCATGATGAGGAAGATCTGATTGGTAAATGTGATGGATTAGAGGCTACAGCACTTCATCTTGACAGCGGGTGTTCAGTAAACCTTGAGCTGCTGTGATCACGTTTTTGAAGATCAGTGTGAATGAGAGACTGCTGAATGAGAAGCTTGGTTCATTCTCACCCAAATTAAGTTGCATCATTGACAGCCAGAGGCTTTGTGAAAGTGGGAGACACTAGTGGAGGCTCCTAGTAAATTGTTGATGCACGTAATGCAACTCCTGATTGTGGATAAGGCATTTGGTCAGTCGGATCATTCATTTTAAACCTCGTTTTTCCAGATGTGCACCCTACAGTAGACTGGTGTCCCGGGGTGTAGTCCCAGCTTGAGAGCTGTGCCTGTCAAGATGAAGGCTTGGGGTTGTTGCAGGCAACCTTACCAGGGATACAAGGCTTTCTAATAATAGATGGAGGAGTTTTAAGCTGCTGATGTGATCTGCATACTAGAATCAGGTGTAGCAATGTCCGTCGAGCAGAGCTAGTATGTGGGCCAGTGTCTTGTGCATCATTAAGAAAGTGTCTGACTCGCTCTTGACGGAAGCCCTGATCTATTTTCAGGAAGGGCCTAGGCTCCTGATCCCTCTCTCTCTCACCCTCAGGAATGCATGGCCTCGACGCCTGAAGACGATCGAATGGTGAAGGTGCACGATGTCATCCAGCAGCTGCCTCCCCCCCATTACAGGTAGGAGCCAGCGGGGCGTGGGCGTGGCCTCGTGTCAGTCCCCCCAATCGCCCGCTGTGGGCGTGGCCTGTGGGCGTGGCAGCGTTGATGTCACTGGCCCTGTGCTGCAGGGCAGTGTGAGATGGAAGCCCCTGGAGGTTTCAGACTTATCCACCCCTGAGCTTCACAGGGCTGCTGATCAGCTCAGCAAGCAGAGATACAAGTGGATCTTAGTGGCCCAGGTGTCTTGAGTGTGCCCCTTGCTTGCCGCGGTTTGGGGATTCCCAAAGTGGTGCCACCCAGGGTTCAAACGGGGCAGGGCTGGGGATGAGTCAAGCAAGAGGGTCTTGGCTCCCGGCACAGTTGGCATTCTGAGTGATCAGTTGGCATTCTTGCTCTCCCGTTCAGTGCAGCAAAGTCTGCCGGCCTGCAGCTGATAATAAACCAGTCTTAAACAGTTGCCCATTGCAAACTGGATGATAGTAGAATTAAAAAAAAAACTCTGAACTTCAGAATGTGGAAAGTGCACAAACGACATATACTTAGGAGTTCTGGGGCGAGATGGCCATTAGGCTTTTCCTGACACATGGTTAGATCAGGATGATTGGGTGCTATGGGGAATCTGCCAACATCCCTTAAACCAAAAGCCTTTTGATTTTTTTTTTTCCTGTCCTAAACTGGACCCGACCAGGACCCTGGAGTACCTGATGAGACACCTGTCCAGACTGGCGACCTGCAGCAGAGAGACCAACATGAACATCAAGAACCTGGCGATCGTCTGGGCTCCCAACCTGCTCAGGTGAAGGCGACTGGGCTCCTCCTTCTCTGTCCGCAGGCCTTCTTGTAGTGGTATCCTGATCCAGTCTCTCCTGCGCTGCTGAGGAGCCAGTCATATATTCATTCCTTAC